CATTAAGATACTAAGCTTGAGGAGTGCTATTTTATTAGTTACTCATTGTTGGTTGTCTCCTCAACAATATGCTATGAAGTTATTAGAAGAAAAATGGAGCAAGATAATCTACTGAGTTTTGTGGTCTGGGCCAGAGAGTAACAGCTATGTTGTAAGACCGTTTGACCTCACCTAAACAAATAAATCTGCTTCCTCATCAGGGCTTCCAGTCTGCCTTAAGCAGCAGGAAGCTAACATACTTTCCTCTCTATTATACTTCAGCTGCAGTCTCACCGTATGAATCAGAAACTCTAGATCTTCAACCGAGATTTGAATCAATCCACTATTTTCTTAAAATCGGTATCAGTTTATTTAGCCAGAAATCACGAGACACTTGGCTCTGGTAATGATTTCTCTCTTGCATCAATTTCAGACTGAATTTTAACTTATTTAATCCAAATTATGCATCTTGATTTTCTTCAGGTTCTTGTAGATCCTCCAAATGGGAACTAAGAATCAAGAATCAGAGAAAATGGTTTCTAATGAAAAAGAGAATGATGTATGGATCCAACTTCCTTCTCTACAATGCTTGTTTCATTATTAAAGAAAACTATCTTAGAAAAGTACTTAAAAATCACATATTTTACACTTAAACTTTGCTAAATTTCATATCGCAAGACATACAGGACAAATCAGCTCCAAACTAATGTCAAGATTTTAGAATCTGGTGCTTCTTACGTGAGAAAAACATGAATTCATTAACCATTAGAAATATCAATCTTTGGTCTATTCTAAGAAATCTCATCCAATCTTCATAGTCCATTGTAAACACTGCCCACTGTAAAATACCTCAAGCTACCGGCCAAAACTATAACAAATCTGTATCAACCTGCACCTTCAGAGTCAACACCAAGTCCTAACATACTGCCTCAGAATCAGCAGCAACAGTACAAGAGAAAAATCAGCTTCCTCCCCACACCCACTGAAATCAACCCACAGCCTCTGCCTGCTTATCTACCACATAGTCTCCTCTGCAAGCAACCAGTTGAGAGCTGAGGACATTAGAGCTGTTCTGACAGCAGCTAGCTGAGGACAGCAGCGGCTGAAGTATGCTACACATCACAGTATGAGATACAATGGTCCTTGAATGCATCTGCTTTATTCTTAGATATGCAGTTCAGCATATTTATTTTCTCATGTATATACTTAGGAAAAACAGAATGATTCATCATTGCAAAAAAATCCAAATGGGGTCACTCAGTGGGTCCTGCACAGAGCACTGAAAAGACCAAGGTGCTGCTGATGGCGTAACTTCATGAACCCACTGCTTCAGTTTGCAAAGCTTTACAGCCACACTAACGCAGGTGAGAAAACACATTATGACTTGACATAACTGATCAATATGTAAATTAATTTCAACTTCAATAAGAAAAGAGCAGGTAGAAGAAAAATCAAAGAACCATAACAAAACTTATATGAGAGGAAAATGAAATAAAATTACTATCCTAAGGAGGTCAGAGGAGGACAAGAGACAGACAAATAGGCAGAGAGAGAGAGTGTTTGAGACAGAGTTAGAGAGGCAGAGTTAGAGAAAGAGAAGCCAGTTCAACAGTGAAACATCTGAACATGGGAAGGAAGCTGGGTTTGATCCAAGCAAAGACTCGAAGGCTCTAAGAGGTACCGAGCGTAAGCCAGCACCCCCAGATGCTTCTCTGCTAGCTAAGGGAATGTAAAAATAAACAGTTCCCAAGGATCAGAGTGCAGGTAGTATTTCAACTGACATTAAGTCTTTGCTTAGTGTACTGTTTTCTCTTGTCATGGCAATGTAGCAGTGAATTGCAAGGTTATGGTGGAGAGAGAGGAGAAATACATCATGTTATCTATGTGCAGCACATCAACAGGGGCACCCATCCTCTGGTGCCACATAATTTCCCCTTCTACAACATACTGTCTTGTAGGAGACTGCCTCACCAAACACATCCCAGAGCTCAATAAGCGGCTGTGCAGGAGGAAGAGTCTGGAGATTTCTTTGGGAACAGATGGCTTTAAGGCAAAGGCCCAGGAAGGCTGCTCTGTCAGGGGTGGCTCTGGAGGAGAGACTTTCCTGTGAGGAGGGGACAGCTTGCTGAAGAAGCCAGCCAGAAGGCTCTGGTGGGTGACAGGACTGCCAGCAGTACTCAGCGCTCTCCCCCGATGGTGAGGGGCCATCTATTCCCAACCCTGCTCAGTTCTGTTAACGACCTTTCCCCTGCCTCCTCAGTAACACAAATCCAATTAGACGTATTTGCAAACCTATCTCCAGGCAACTGCACACTATTTAATCCTACACATTTACCTACAGTTCTGAGCCAAATGCTCATGGGCATGAACAAGTGAAACCTGGAATAGCTGTGCCGCTGCTCACAATTTGCCTACAAGTGCCGTTTGAATTAGCATTTTTATAATTTATGTGCACAAGTTGAAGAACATTTTTGAAAGACTGACTCTCAGTTTACACGGGTATGACTCAGTTTACACAGATATATCTGCACATAACTCTGACTTCAGCAACATTATTTTGAGAGACTTTGCACCTAATGCTTGTAAACATCGTTGTACAGGACTGGTAGCATAGTGTCCAGAAGGAATAAAGCAGTTTGGGTTCCAGTTATGGCACTTCTCTATCAGTGTTTCACTTTTTCTTTTCCAACTTACGCTATTCCTTGGTATGTAGCATTCAAAATTTGTTTCCAAAGGAGCATTTGTCATAAAATTATAAAAAACCCCTAAGTTTGCATAGGGTTCAAAGAATAGCCAGAAGTAAGTTTTTCAAGGACGTTTTTCTTCTTTCCCCAAATTATTTGATTCTACTCTTTCTGCTTTGAAGCATGCAACAGCACAAGTTTTGAACTGGAATGCTCTGAAGAAGCCCATTTTACAGTGAAGGAAAAGCTGGGTTTTCTTTTGCTGTGATGATATTCCCACAGCCATAAAAACATAAGTGCTTGAAATGCTGAGCCTGTACTTAAACAGAGTAGTTCACTACATTGTATTTCAGCTCTTCATAACTATGATGCAAAGGCAGCTTTCACTGCCAGCTTGAGGCTAGTTACACTGGTTCATATAAGCTTAAATTGTATAAAATTCCTTTGCAGAGGGACAGGTTCAGTTCACTACTCACCTCCTGTCTTAGTTTGACTTCATAGTCAAACATGAACAAATTATGCTGTAAAATCAGAAATGAGAACTGTAATAAGGAGCAGGGAAGATTTATATCCTCTTTAAACTAGCTGTCCATGTAGGTTTTTGTCGAACTAGCACGTACTAAGCTAAATCCTCCACTAAAATGAGCTCTTCAAATGCATTTCTTTTTCAGTATATTTCATTTCCCAAATGAGGGTTAGGGGATACAGTTGATGGACTGTCTCACTGGAAGCTTCTTTCCTTTAGTTTTTATTAATTTATGTTTTTAAAAAAGCAGGCCAACCTTGAGAGTTCTCTTATATGTTCTTGGCCCAACAGGCAACTGTTAAAAACCTTTTCTCTTTTGGAAGTCATAGTCTGCACAGAAAACTCCGTTTAGATGAGTTCTGTCCACATTACATTTCTCATTCAGCAATTATTATCTCTTCTCCTGATTTAAACAACTCTCTCTCCTTCACTTCACTATATCATAAATCCAAATAGCTGAACTCATGCCCCATCTGAAACTTCATTTCATAAGAAAAAAATGCTGTGGTTACCTCTTTGGTAAAATTAGATTCTGCTAATAGCTTAATTCATTTATCCATTTCTTTTACCCTTCCTCTAAACTTTTCTTTTAGTTAAACTTTTGATGTAATTTATCAGATATTCTGGGCATCATCAAATCTCCACAACTGCGTAGAAGCTGCTCAGCACTCTTGAAAATCATGGCACAAAAATCACTGGTGCACAACTTCATTTTCCATATGCCCATAACACTTCCTGCACACCTCCAGGGCTGGGCATTAATTTACCATCCATGATATAGTTAAGGGGATCAAACCCTTCTTCTCTAAGTATAGCTGTTTCTCTGTCACATGTAAATGAAACTGTAGAAAAAAGGCACTCCTAAAAACATTTCTAGCATGTGCACCTGTACTGTATTTCCATCAGTCAACCCATGTACCAAGAGGATAAAGCTTTAGGGCTCACAGGCTGTGAGAGATAAAGAACACAACAGCACAAGACTCACAGCCTATCAAGATTAGGACTCACATCCGCTTCATAACAAGCTCCCTGTGTTACTTACCATTTGGCCTGCAAAACAATCTCCAAACTTGTGCCTGGTATCTTCCTTTTTTTTTTTTTCCATAGCATGCACACTGCCATGCCTCTCCTCTGCCAGATCTCTTCCTTTCAGCCAAATTCAGAGATTTCTTTTTCCAATTTTTCTATTTTTTTCTCTCTCTTTTTCTTTCTTTTTCTTCTTCTTTTAAGAAAATGCATTTCTATCACAAGAACCAAGTGCAGTTCCAGAGACTTGATGAATAGGCCCAACATATAGACACATGGTTTGTGAGTTGGCTGTGTATCATCAGCCACATTTATCAGTGTAGAAACTTGTAGAACAGTGAAGTGCATTGGCTCCCTAAGAATCCTGTTTCAGCCCTGGGATAAAATCTGCTCCTCCTGTTCTATAGCCCAATCATTTATCAGCAGACTCAGATTAGCATTTTCTATTTCCTTTCTTTCATATTCCAGTCAGCTGTAGAACTCTTCCCTTGAGAAATACCAAATTATCCACACTTAACTGATTTCTTATGTTGACATCATTGCCAATGCTGAAGTAGAAAAAATATTTGAGAACTGAAATATTAAGTGGAATCCAATAATTCTTATAAAGCTGAAAAAATTAACAATTTGATCTACTCCCATACAGTTTAGCAATGATAAAAACAAACAGGACTGCTACAGAATGGCATTCAAAAACAACACAATAATTTTCCACTCACTGTTTTTATGCGAATATCAATATAAAACCATCAGCTGATAGATAAATGAATAATTGGCATCATTACCAGAGCAGACAAAGTCCTTCTTCTGAACCTCCGCCACAAGAAAACCCCGCAGGTTTACAGGTGCCAAACAGAAGGTGAACTGCCCGATAGTGCGCCTCTGCCGCAGCCAGTCAGACAGCCAAGCCAGGTGGCAGTCGCAGTGCAGGAAGTTGGAGTGAAGCCGCCTACAAAAGACAGAAAAACCCTAAAGTTATTAGTAGCTTTTTTAACAGAAGACACAAACCAGAGCAATCAAGTACAAGTCTGTCTGGCTCTTCACTACAATTTAAGTAGGATCATTGCAGGTTACTGGTTACAGCTGAGTCAGGTCTTGACTGTCTACATTGCCATATAATATACAAATGTTCACATAGAAATTAGTGCTATTATTTAAAATGTCTTGGAAGAATGAAGTTAAATAATTACCTGCCTACAGGTAATCATGAGCTGGCCATTATAAAGAAAAGAACATGCAGAATTTAAGATTCCTCCAAGTAATCACTTTGCCTGTGATTTCATATCAAAAATAACTGCATGAATGTGATATCTTTGAGTGAATTCAAAGGATGGCTTGTATAAACACGAGGATGAGGCTGAAAAACAGGATGATTGGTGATCTTTCCTCTCCTCTCTTCTTTGAGGGGGTGTGGAAGTGGAGAGGGGGCGGAGGGAGAGAGAGAGAGAGAGACAGACTGACCCCACACACCAGAAGCTATTGATACCTTGTATGTTCCTGTGTTGCCTGTACAAATTCACTAATGCTCTTTTTACTGTGGCAATTTAACGCAAGTATGCGGGTTCTAGACAGGAATTTTCAACTCGTGGTGAAGAAGGGGACCACGACAGGGTCGTGACACACAGCAATGCCAGGGCTGTTCTTTGTAATGGAAGATCTAGCCACACAGCTCCCTTCCCAGCCTGCTTCATGCCTGGCACCTTGAGACTTGCAGAAGCATTATCACATTGCAGGGGGAAGTCTGCAAAATGGTGATGCATTCAGAGAGCGAATCTGGTAATTTTAATAGCTACCAAACTTCAGGTCAAAACAAAAGCCCAGGACATTAATTATTTCATTCCTTGTAATGAGTCATACATTTGCAGTGATCTACCAAAGCTGAAATGATAAAACAGATTGAAAATCCTGTCAGAAATGGTTAGACAAAGCATTATTCACCAATATTACAGTCATTACATTTAAAAAAACCCACACAATTGGTGTGCACAGGATTTAGCCTTGTCCATCCACCAAAGAAATTAACTGTCTGTCTGTGAGATCTTCATATTGCACAGCAGCAGTGCAGGTCAGCAGTGGCGCCTGGGCTGACAGTCCCCAGATTTGTATGTCTGGGGTGGGCAGTCACAGTAAAAGACCACAAATCTGGAACTGAGAGTTTATCCTGTAGAGATGGAAGACGTTAGTCTCCTGGGAGCACTGTAAAACATAATTGTTTTAGAAGGATGGCTAGAAGACCTTGTTTTTAGGGATTATGAAGCTATTTAATTGACGCTGCAGTAAGTTAGATTTCTAGTAAAATGTTTTGTTATTATGAACCGTTATTCTGCCTGGAACACTTTTTGTTGATTGAAAGAACAAAGAAATACATTTACAAAGAAAAGAGAACAAATATCATCTAGCCAGAAATCACCCTAAGTAAGGGTAAGTAAGTAAATCACCCTTTATTTGAACTTAGAGAGTAAGCATTTAATTTAAATCCTCATCCCTTCCCACCACAGCAGTCAACAACTTATATTCAGAATCATCTTCCTTCAGGAACTGAAGCAGAGCTTGTCCCATGCCACTCCCTGCATCCCCTGTATGGGCGTAGGCAGGCAGGAGTAATAAAACCACAATTTCACAAAAAGGGGCAACTTTCTAGTTCTGTGAGTTGGGTTTTTTTACTCATTAAATTTGTATAGCTGGTTTCTGGGTTTTCCCATTTTAGTAGTGTGAACTGTCACCTCTTCACCACCTCGCCTGCCTCAGCAGAGCCCTACCTTGTCATTTGTTTAAGTTTTTTGCACAGATATTCTACAGAATGCTTTTGAGAGGAGATCATTCAAAGAGTCTATCAAGCTTAACAAAGCAGCCTACTAGAATATATTTTTGATAATTATATTAATGAATACAGCCTAAAAAAGACTTTTCACAGTACTTCAAAAGCCTAATACACCAATTCCCTGTGAACATGAAAAGCACTGAAGTGATTTGGTACATTTTCAGTTTACCCTTAAATAAAAAAATTAAAATAAATTATTCAATTATCTATCTCAGCAGTCACTCACACATGCAGAGACAATAGGACACTTACCATTAAGCAAATAGGTATGGGGGACATGCTTTAACATAAATAAAGCTGTTTCAAGCAAAGGAAAGCAGATCAATAAAAACTAATTCCTGTCACTTCCAATCAAGGCTAAAAGATCAATGAAACTTAGCAACAGAAAAGACAGTTACATAAAAAAGGTTAGCACAGAAGAGCTGATTTTTTTTGAAGAATTCTTCAAGTGCTTCAAATCTTACTAGCACTTTTCTCTTTTTTTTTTTTCCCCTCCTCCCTGAGAGGTCATGTTCAAGTTGAATATGCTCTTTATTTTTCCTTCTCTGTTCTTCTTAAATGAGCAGATTGTTTTGAGAGCCATGAAGAAAAAGCTATTTATCCACACAACTATCACAGCAGATGCAGCTGCGGCACAAGCAGCCCCAAATGTCCTGCTAATGGATCTCACTAGTGTCTAAAAGAGACACATAGGGAAAAGACTATCCACACCGCACTGGGCCTCTGCTGGTTGGGAAAAAGGGCTTGTCCCTACTTAAGTAACATTCAGACCAGGGATTCCCTACAAGGGCTTCTAAAAAAAAGCACGTCTAAGTGTGAAGCTATTTGAGAAGGTGTACAAACTGATGATCATTTTTTAAGAAAACCGTAGAGTCACCAAACTGTAACAAACATCATTCGTGATCTATTTGGACTGAATTTGCATCACCAACCAAGAGATTAAATAGTAGATCTTATTCAGCCATTATGCCTCAAACAGCTTGCTGCGTGTTATTTGGCAGTATTTGGAGACTGAAACATGCCACTTGATATTGATGAAACTACCTTTACAGAACATGAGGTGAATGAATACGAATGCAAGTTTGCAAAGGTGCCCTTTTAGCCAGAGACCCTAAATTAAATTTCCAGCAAATCCTTTTAGAGTGGGTCAGCGTTCATGTTCTATAAAATGTGACTCTCAGAATTCAATATAAAAGCTTCCCTTTATAAATCCTATTTATGACTTCCTTCCCCCCCCCTTTTTTCTTTCCTTAATTACAGCAGAGGGGGATTAGTCAGTGTAAGTCTCCAGGGAGCTATATACAAAGCCATCTCCGAAATTAAACTAAAAGGAAAATGGCAGAAGGCATTGAGCTCTGGTAACAGACAAGACTGACTAATCTGAAGAAGCCAGGCAAATTTTCTGGACCGCTGTGACTGAATGAGAAAAGGCAAAACTCCAGGAACCTTAACCCTACACCTTTATCTTCTTTATCCATTCTCTTCTAAAAGACAAACATCTAATTTCCATTTAATTACTTACATTAAGATCTATGAATGTCACCATTTAATGAAGAACGTAAATTGAAATCAGAGGTTATCTTACATAGATTGACATAAGTAAGAGCCATTTTTCTTCAGTTCTGTTAACTTATTTAATATGATTTTACACACGCATCCTTGAAACATTTTATTTTTTCAGTGCCATAGAAAACTTTCAGGCTAGCTACTATGTTCCTTTCTTTGCTTTTAGGACTAAATACATCTTGGCTGAGTTTGAGATTTTGGAGGAAAAAACAGAGAGACTTTGTTTAAACATGACTTTTCCCGAAGTTGTGTATTCCCTAAAGGAATTTAAAGGAATAATTTATTTAAAGAAAATGTTTTTGGTAGGTTATGGCTAAACTATACAAATGCACACAGTCTAATTTCACAGTCTTTGTATTTTGGTCTACTAAAGCCAATTAGAGCTTTTCCAGTGGAATGGTGCCCAGCTATAGAAAAATGGATTTGACGTAAGAGAAGCTTTTATAAAAAATGCATCAGAATCAGTGACATTTTGTTTCAGAAAGTATCTGGAAAAGAAGCTTTTTTCAAGTTCTTTAAAAAATTTATTGTTTCAGAAATTAGTATTCTGAATTTGAAAAGAAGAAATAGGATTTAAATACAGGATATTAACAAAATTAAATAACTTGATCCATCTGAGCAGTTTTCACAATTTTGGTGATGTTCCAGCTTGGAAAATATTTCACATTATGGATTTTCCCAAAGAACAAAACCGCCAGTTTCATTTCCGGGTAAATTCAAAATCTCGATAAAAGTGAATCTTACTTAACCCTGGGAAAAGCCAGTGTGCTTGCTGTCAGGGCCCTGGGGCACCAGCCACCTTCACAACCCTGCCCGGCCTCACCAGGGGCTCCCAGGGCTCCCCGAGCCCTGCCACGGCCCAGGACTCCAACACAGCCCAGCCCGGGGCTCTCAGCCCCTGCCCCAGCGACGCCGTAGCAGTGCAGGTCTCCAGCCCTGCCCCAGCCCGCCCTGCCCGGCCACCCATTTGAGCTGGACCCCACCTATGGGCTGATGTCCCGGCCTGGCCTTGGCTGTCCCCATCCCCACAGAGGTGCCTGAGGCTGCCCCGCTGTAGGGGGTCCCTGTGGGACAGGCCCAGCTGCAAGGCCCTGCCCTGCCCGCCACAGCCTTCACAGGGTCAGGCTTGTTCAGTGACCGTCTTCCTCAAGAGAGTCGGGTGAATTGTTCACATCGGGAAGAGACTGAAATAAGATTATTACAAGATGACAAATATCCGACGTGTTGGCTTACACCATTATTATTATTATTATTATTATTTATATTCAAAGATATTACTCACAGAGTCCTGATCTTTGGCATGTGATTGAAACTGGTAACAGGAATGCGGGTGATGTTGTTATTGTTGAGAGTACTGTTAGGAGGAAAAAAAAAAAGAGAGAAAAGAGAATAATAGATTGATCAATTATTTACATTTCTTCACCAACACACTATTTACAGAAACAAGCTGCTAAAACTCTTGGTGATAAATCTGCCAGGCTGCGAGCAGTAAGACATGCTGACCAATACCTCAGACAAGTTGTGACATATCATGAAAGATAGTGTTAGGGCAAAGCAACCAACAGCTGCGTAAGAATGGATGAAGGTTACTATTTACCACATCTGAGTACCAAGGAGTACAGGAGATGAGTTTTTATCGATTACTGGAACAGATCCAGACTTTTTGGTTAAGCTGCCACTTTGCTTGAAAACCTGCTGCAACTTGAGTGGAGGAACATCAAAGTCGCACACTGCAATATGAAAGCTTTGCACTTCAAGCGCTCGCTTTCACGCAAAGAGAGCTGTTGACTCTCACAGGCTTGTTAACACAGCCGGCTTACACGGACAGACAGCTCAAATTGCCCTTTTGAAAACACACGGATGGATGAGTACCCTTTCTTTTGGTTTCCTTATGAAAAAATATATGGGTAGTGGAATGGACCATAATAAAACATATCATGACCCAGGCATGTAAGGATTTCTGCTGCTCTATCAAAGCAGAGTTTAAAGAGAAAATGATCTCAGCTGCTGGTCGGGACCCCCTTAGTGCTTCTTATGAAAAATGAACTGACTCGATTATCATCAGCTGAGTGTGCTGCTCCCATTTATATAGCTCCTAATTATATCAATGACTCTCTAGCAAATTAGAAGCTATAAAGTTTATCAAGATGGCACAGGAAATGGAAAGCACTCCAACAGGGCATAATTGCCATGCTCCAAGTGCACCAAATCTGCAAATACAGTAGCCCAGTTTCTCATGAGAGTTGATGGGGCTGGTGATGACTCCATGTCCCAGCATAGCCGGTCCTGCTGCTGGCTGCAGCTGCCTATTTGAAACGTGTGGTGTCCACAGCACCACGGCATGGAGCAACCTCTGCTTTATACAAGGGGCACAGCACTCCGCAAGAGTGGTACGCTTTGGTAGGAGATAGTGCTTTTGTGCATTGTGTTGAGGAAAATACCTGCTGAAGCAACCTAAAAGCACATTGCCCTTCCCTGAACTATTTAGTTGTTCCAATGTTACGTATTTACATAGGACATTTAATCAAAAGCTTTTGAAGAGTCTTACAGAAATTAGCTAGCCCTCTTGGTCATCTGCCAATTTAAAAATGTTTTTACAATTCTGCCTAGAAATCCCTTGGCAAAATCATCATCTACAACATCAGCAGATTAAAGCTACATTAGATTATACCCTATTAAAACTGTTTTTCTGGTACACAGGAAGACACATACACATATTGGCAAAGCCAGGAGGTTGCAGGGTAACACGGCTATGCGCGGGCACACTCAGGAGGGGTGTGTGAGCAGGCTCTGACACTGGCAGCAGTGTGTTTGTGTTGCTGCTGCACTACATCCCAGCAGGACAGAACACGACCACTTTGTTATTAGGATCGGAGCTGGTATTTCAGCATAGTGCTGCACCAGATGGATGCACTATTGATCTGGAGCCAGCTTGGGGGCTGACATACCCATGACAGCAAACTGCACCGACAGAGCAAAGTTACTCTTCCTTTCCAAATCTGTGAGCAGAGTGAGATATGTCAGTAAAAGCAAAGTTTTGGAAATCTGGAATCTGCATGTGAGATCTGTTGCCAGAGATCTGTGTCAGTCAAGTCACACACGTTCACACACCAGGCTGATAAGAGCTGTAGGCCTTAGTGCATCATGGCTTATAGTATAATATATAGTATTCATTCCAGATCCTCTGAAAAACTTGATGGTGCCAAAAATTGGACAAGAAACACATAGCTAAGTATTGGGATCAATGGGTATACAAAATTATGGGTTTGTGTATTCAATTTCTCAATATGCAAAGACTCAAACGCAGGCTATTATAAATTTACTGGATAAGATGAAGAGGGAAATACTGTTAACTTCAGAAGTAAACCTGCAAGTAAGCTCTTACAGCTACCAGCCATGTCATTTCATCAGCTGCGCATCACAATCTGCACGTGCCACTGCCTTACTGTAGCTTCAGCGCTGGAAGTGAACACAATAAGTATCAGTGTACATCTGTAGGGCTGAAAAGCTCTAGCTTTGAATTCCTGCTAATGTCATGATGACAACACAAATGTCCCACTGTGGCAGTTTATACGGTGCAAAATGAACCTCTCTGTCATACAATTGCTACTGCTTGATTACCTTATTTAGCTAGTGATGCCAGCCAAAGTCTTTTGTGGACAGTTAGTCAAACAAGCATGTACAACAACTTCAGAAAGTGAACAAAACCTCTTATAAGGGTGCATACATATATAGATCAACACACCCACCCCTCAATATCTATATTTATTTGCTGTTTGCTTTTGCACATGCATGTTGGGAAGTTCAAACAGGGCTCACAAATGGAATGATCAACACACCCACCCCTCAATATCTATATTTATTTGCTGTTTGCTTTTGCACATGCATGTTGGGAAAGTTCTAACAGGGCTCACAAATGGAATTTCTAATTGCACCACCATTTTTTTTTCTGTAAACGTAAAAATATAATTCACTCTCTGCCTCAGTTGCCTGTTACATAAAAATGAGCGATGCACTTGGTTGGAAGATTTTAGGTATACACTGATAAATAAAAGCCACATGTAAAGTCAACTCACAAAAATTAAATCACCTACATAGCTGATGTCTGAATAAGTCACACATGGCACTATAGGAGTCAATGGGAGCCACAGGAATTCAAGGGAGACTTTCTATGGATTTCAAAAGGACGTGGATTGGATTCAGGCAGAACAGGATGTGACAGCAAGCTTCCTTCTACACTAACTGAGGGTAGAGAACACATCCCTGTCTCCCAGTGCAATTCTTTATCTGGATGCGGAAAGGCCAGCCTTTACTGTCTGATTTGATGATTCAAAAATATTTTTAAATTTCTTAAAATATTTCCGTTTAACAGACAAAGCATTATTCCAATCACACAGTATTTCTACTCACAAAATATCAGATGAGAGTGGCTCAGGTTTTGCTCCTACTAAGCAAAGGTTTCCCATAATTCATCAACAAATATATAACCCTCCTTCTAAGAATCCTAAGTCAGTGCTGAATTAATATACTCCTTAAACACAAATTTCAGCGGTAACTCTAACAGATAGCTATTGCACAGGTGACTTAGTAGCATACTATTTCATCAGTATTTAAATGTTAACCATAATGAAGGCAATAAAACATCTATGATAACAGTAATTATTTCAGAACAAAGAATGCCAAACACTGCAAAGGGCACTAATTGACAGTGAACTGTCTGCATTACAGCCCAGTTGTAGCTGCAGGAATTTAACCCTGCTGCTCTGGCTGTGCAGAGCACACAGCTCCCACGCAGCAAGAGCTCTTTGGCTTTTGAATGGGGACGTTTTCAGGCAGAGGTGTGCTCTAGAGGCGTTCTGCAAAGCTTTCTGTCATGCACATGAAACCTTCCCAGCAATGATTTATAAGAGTATGTGTCCTGGCAGGGGTAAGCACACAATACAGTGGCATTTTTAACACATGAAGGGAGAAAATAAATTCTGCTCCAGTCGTCTGCTAGCTGCTCCAAGGCCCCAGTCTCATTTTGATCCACCTAAGATTCAAATCCATAGAAACAGATGCACGAACACCAGAAAGCTGTGAGAAACCGAAAACTTCCAGAACCTTCTGACTCCTCCAACATCATATGGGAAAACTTGTATTCTGCTGAGTTTTCCCCAGCCTTAGACTTCCTACCTCTTCCAGAACCCAATATACACTTGTCCCTTGAAAAAGTGCTGTCCTCTCATTTAGAAGTCCTCTCCCTGTAAACTATTCACATCCAAAATGCTGAATCAGGAAACTGAGGTTATAGACAATGTTATTTATGCCAGCAAACTTCCCACCTTGGGCCGTGATCCTTGTCAGATCTTGCAAGCTAAGCAGAAGCAGACTGCAGCAGTCCTAAGGATCCTCCAAGGACTACTTGGAAGATGCATAACGTGGGATCAGCAATCTTCGAGGTGGTACATCCTCCACCGGTATGAACTGTCATAGTCCCACTGACTTCAATTTACAACCCCCGAGGAACTGCTCTACTAACTCGCTCCTCTGCCAGTTGCCCAAACTGGCTAGAGGCACGCATGGAGCTGCTTTCTTCCTTCTGAAGAATAAAGCTGATTTATAGCCCCTACTAACCAGATTTTTTTTAAAGGAAAGAATGCTCACTCTGCAATCCTGTCACGATCTGAAAACATTACCTGTCTCCTTTCTCAAACTTTTTGTGCAAATTTAACTACATGCAGTTGCATTTCTGTTCTCTTCTGACTTGCTCCAAATTCATGTACACCACTGTATTTCCCTGACAAAGAGTTGTTAATTCCAGAATCAATGTAATGACACTAAAACCATTAACCTGTAGAAATGACTGTCATGTGTGTGTTTTTTAAAATAATATTTATATATTATTCTTTACTCCTTTCTCCACCCTCTTGAATAAGAATACAGGTGTTCAGGACTAGATGAGAGTCAGAAAAAAATTATACTCCTAGTGCTAGAAGAAATCACACAACTTTTATGGAAGATACTTTGGAAAAAAAGGAATGGATTTAAATTTTGAACCCTACTAATAATACAAGTACTTGATTTTAAAAACTCAGGAACTCTAAGCATCCTTTCATGTTCCTTGGACTAATTCAGAGAGCAGAAATCCCAGGCTGTCAGATCAATAGTCAAACACTCTCCACTCTGTAAATTACAGAGTACACAGAGATTTTGTTTCTCTTACTTGGAATTCAATTAATGGTCTCATTAAGAGCATAAAATGAATATCAGAATGCCTGGTGACTTACTCATCTGAAATGATAATACTGTCATTACAATATATCTACCCGCTCTGTTCCAGTTAAGTACTAGACATGATCCAAAAGGATCTTC